TCTAAATATAGACATAGTAGAGTCTTCACCGCAAATCCACAGTGATTATTCTGACAGCATCAGTTTTTGTTCTGTATCCACCACAAAGTTTGGGTTGAAGACATCAAACATCTAATATTTTATTAACTTGTAAGTTTAATCACCTATTAAACAGTAAGCTACAGTACAATAATAATAGTAGTGTGTGACTGGAAAGCATGTAACATTTAACCACAAATTAGTAGCAGACACTCAAGATGGCGCTCAACATTCTGACAGAAATTTGCACATTGAATGTCTTCTATGAAAACTGAGCCCAATCAATTGTAAAATACTATAACATAAATAAATTGTGTAATAAAAAGATTATATTCAACCAAAACCAAAAATTCAACCATCAAAAGAAAAAGAACGTAACATGACTGTTGCTTATGCACTTCAGTTTCACATGCAACAGCTTTTTTTTGTTTCATTCTCAATCTCTGCGCTGCTGACTCTCCATACATGCAGGTCCAATGGCACAATTAGATTCTCATTGATCCACTGGAGCTGATGGCGCTCCACCACTTGTAAAATCTAGTCTTGGAGAATCTGAGTAACTATTAGACTCACATCTCTAATTCCATATCAGTGAAGCTGATTCATACCTCTGACTCATTAAGAATCAGGGAGTTTGCTGATTGCAGAGCAGTCGCCTCCTTCCTGCGGTGAGCCGCAGACGGTCTACCTGCAGCTGGCCCGAGTGGAACAAAGCTGGTTCTATAATTAGGTTCTCATGGCTGATTCGATTAGAGCAGCCGCTACGTTCATTTAGTTAAAGATGCTCCTTAGCTGCTTGGAGGGACTAATGGAAGAGATGGAGAGATATATGGGAAACAATTAGACATGACATTATCTTATGGTGTGTGTGCATGTGTGTGTATATGTTTACAAAACAGCAATACGGCAAAAACTTCTTTTCTTTTTCCTTAATACTTATGTTAATATGCCATACACATACTCTCACATGTCTTCTTATCAAACCTACATCACTTATTTTTCTTCTCCCCTTCTCCAACCCTCTTCCGATATTTCAATTAGCTGCCTGGCAATTAAATTACAGGGGACATTACTTAAGGACATAAATAGTGGCCTGCCGATGTGCCTCAGCCTCAGATGAGATATGAGCTGCCCTGAGTCACATTATCTGGAGAAGAGATCCATAAACGATATCTCATGTTCTACGTCATGTTCAAATCACATGTTTTTCCTTTTCTGGGATAACAATAAGAAATATTAAAGCTCCACTACACTTAAAAATGTGTTCTGCATATTATTACTTCACTTGGATGTCTGACCTCCACCGTGCAGAACGATGGCTGTTATGATCTGGTGAAGAGGAAAAGTTTCTCTGTGGTTAATTTAAATCTCAGTTTAAGGCCTGCACATATGAGGATGTTTTTAATGACAACTAGTCTGGAAGCCAGTCGTGGTCCAGTATGTAACTTTTAACAAGGTAGTATAACTTTTTTTGTGGAAAAACAATATAACAAATAAAAACAGCAAAGAAATGTAAACACCAGTGAAACAGTGCTGACAGGACGGTGTTCTGGGTAGCGGGTGTTTGGAGCCTGAGTCAGATGAAAGCTCTCTAGGGTTAAAGGCACAGCCACAATCAAATCTGAATTTTGCTTTGTGATTTCCTTTATAACTCTCATCGCTTACACATCTCTTGTTAAAGGGGAAATCAAGAAAGTGTGTATTGCACTTGTATAAAGTTGGGCTGAGAGACGGATTAAAAAAGAATAGTCAACATCAAAGCAGCAGAACTTGAGAGGTGTTCATTTTTATTTGCTCATATGAGCCAAACTCCAAAAATATGGGATCCTATAATTCTCTTAATGCAGTTCAATAGTGTCTTTCATCAGATGGTTCCTTCCCATCTTTAAAACTCCAGTTAAGTAACAACATCAGTGCTTAGGCTATTCAAAAAACAACATTCCTTATCACAAATGACATTTGACAGTGCTGGACCTGGACAGTCACCTTGAGTCCTCTCCTCTTATTCCTGACTCCAGCACATTATAGATGTCTATCTGAATGCACCGTCTGCTCTCTGTAATCTCATTACCTCATGTTCACATTGAGAGAAAGTGCTCTGGTGGGATCTTGATTCCCAGAATTCCCTTTTACCTCTTGGTTGGTATGGGGAAATAAGCCAGACAACTGTAGGAAGATAAAATATAGGGAAGGAAAAATTGTTAACATTTCACATTTTAAAACTGTCCATCGGCCAGAGCTCAAAGTCTGGCTGGTTTCCTTTTGGGATCTAATTAGACACTTAAAGAGTTTCCTCCAGACTAAGAAGGAAAGTAAGAATGAGAGTATAAGAGATTTGGAAGGGTTTCTTATTTTGGAAGGGTCGAGGTTTTTTAATAAATGGAAAAGAAATTCAGAGAAAATATGGGTAAAAATAATAAGCAGTAATAATCCGCATGGCCAAATATCAGTGACTCCCAGAAAAACATCATAGGACGTTCTAAATATATCCAGCAGTTATGAATGAATGACTATGCTTTGGTTTACATCCAAATGCTCCCCCAACAATCTCCTCCTCATACGTTAAAGCCGTAAATAAATGGATTGACTTTTGGACAAGCGACAGTTTTCCTTCATAATTGTTAATTATCATGAGTGCTCTCTGAGGTACTTTCTATGAATGGAGATGGGACACTCTCTCTCTCTTTCTCCACCCTCTTGTTCTTTTTATGGGATTGGTCTTAGTTCTCAAGGACATCAAAAAGGACGCCAGCAGTTGAGGGAGGAGGTGCAGTGGATGGGTGGGGCACCTGCGTCATTCCTTTGCATCAGGGTTGGTGGATTTTATGGCAGTGGGCGCCAGTAAGCTACACCCCCTCTAAACCCCACCCAAGTCCATCTTCCCTGCCTGACCGCCAACAACCCCACCCACCCCCGGGTGGCTCCTCCCAGAGTCCCAGACTAGAGAGCACAGCACTTAAGGTAATGTAAATAACCAGAGAGGAAAAGCTATTTTAAGATGCTGTCTTTCACTGTGGCCATGGAGGGGGGACAAAGATGCAAGCCAAGCGATTGTAATTTCAGTCACGTTTTCGGACATGTTCTCTTTTTTTCTGTCTACCATCTAGCTAGCTGAAGGGCCTGGCAAACAAGAAAGAGCCGGTGCCGGCTGCAAATTCAATGCAAGCCTTTTTCGAAAGAAAGATGTTTTTAAAAAATATATATATATATTACAGTAACAGGCAGCTGAAGGTCTTGAAAAGTGAGTATAAGATGCCCCCTTTAAGCTTAAAATTACACACAGGAAAGAAAACTTAGAAATCATTCAAATGAGACCTAATATTCCTATAAAACCAAGTTCCTCCAAAGTGGTCGTGACATAAATCTGAGGGGTCACTTTTGAAATTTAAAGCTGTAATTTAAGTAAAGCTGGATTATTCTTAAAGAGGATTTTTAACAAGAATCAGAGAAAAAAAAAAACCCAAATATTATCTTACAAAAGTAGAATTTATATATTTTCCTGAAATAATTTGTTCTTTTTTTATTGTTTCATCTTTTATGACATCAAAAATAAATAAACATTTAGACAGCATCCTTTCCATCTTATATGAATAAATTTTAACCAGCATTATTTGTTATCTATATATAATTTTTCTCCATATTTTTACAAACATACACAACACAGAGAAAATAATCTGCACACTGCTGTTAACAACAAAATTATGAACAGATTTAAAAAATCTGAACCTGCCCCCACATTTTTCTGCAACAGTTACTGTTTGACTTTGCAAAATCACAAACAAAAACATACACAAACAGCAGTCAAAGTACACTACTTAATATAATTTGATCTTTTTGTAGAGGTTACATTCATCTTCAAGTCTTTGTTCACAGCAGAATGACCAGAGTCCAGTCACAACTGTGGAAATTACAAGTATCTCTTTTTATGAGCTTCATTAAGGCAATTAAAATACAAGATAACTTTTAAACACTAATTTACACTGATTCTTATGATTAAAACTGACATTAAAGAGGATATTAGCTAATGCTTCAAGTCTACTACCATAACTACTGCTTGTATATTTTCTACTGAGCATGATATATGGATTGTTTCTGTCTTGAATCACAGTCATGATGTGTTTACCAGTAATAATTAATAATATACACAAGAGACATGATTGCCTTTCAAAAACGGTATCAAATAAAATCAACTGGGTGTTGGTTAATATGAGATGTATTTCACATTTTATGACTATTTGATTTATAAATCAGAAACAGTGCTACAAATTAAATTAGGTTACATAAAGTTACTGGCTTGATATGACATATTGAAGCTATAAAATATCCTGTTTTCCATATTTCCTTATTTCCGTCTCTCACAATCAGATTTTTATAATAATATCTGTTCAGGTGTGTATATGTGTATGTTATTGCTTTTATCTAATCGGTACATACATTGGTGAATAAATACCCTCGTTCCAAACTAGTTTTGTGCTGTCAGTCACTTCGTGTAAAGTACCTGTTATCTGTTCATCATCCCTTTTCATATTTCTGATCAAATATGTCACCACTTTACGCAGCATCTCTCATCTCCACTTATCTGCAGTTTGATAACGGTCTGCTTTTTCATTAGTGATAAAAAACAAAATTAATCAAATAAGGAGTCTCTTTTTTCTTTTAGTATATCTCCAAACGAGTTAAAAAAAGGATGAATACAGTACACCCAACTATCTATAAGTACTATATGAGTGTATGTGTGTGTGTGTGTGTTTGATGTACTTCAACTACATGTCTGAACAATCAGCAAGCTGCTACACTATATATCCCGACAGGCTGTTATCCATTCACCACAAGCGGGATGTGGTAATTTGTAGTCCCAAGAGAGGATGTTTGCTTGTTGTCTCTTAGTTTTTACTTCTTTTTGGAGTTTCTGACAAAGTAACCAGTTCTCTGGCAGTTCAGTCACATGTTTTTTTTGTTTGTTTAATCACATCCTGAGTTTGTCATTTTTCATCATGGTGAGAGGAGTCAGGGCTGGACTCCTCCTCCTCCTCAACGGTTTCCGCTGGCAGCGTGTTACGGCGTGTGAAGGCGGCCGCCAAGGTCACGCTCAGCCGTGGTTTGACAGACGACATCTCCGATAGCCCGATGTTGTTGCCACGAGTTACAAGCGTTGTCTTATCCATAATCTCTCCGCTATGCTTGGACACAACAGCGTCGAGGAAGTCGTATTTGTGTGAAATCTTGCCGCTCTCAAACAGGTACTTTGCCAGGTAGGAAAAAGCAACGTTACCCAGAAAGGAGGCGACCATAGAGACGGTCTTGAAGGGAAACTTCTGGATGACAACATCCTCCATTTCTCCAGTTATGTGGTGCATCCTCTGCTCAATGGTCCATCCTGGGTAGTAGATGAAAGGAGGCAGCTGCAGGTAGGGCTCACCTCCACCTATACGCAGTACCATGCCGAACAGGTAAGCAGCCACCGAGCCGTAAGTGTTGGTGCCTTTGACAAAGAGCACACTGAGCAGCTGGGGGAAGATGATAACGTAGACCAGGTCTGAGCTCAGGTACCAGAGGCCATAAACTGTCCCGGTTACCAGCGCCATCAACGTAGCAAGGCCGCCGAATACAAAGATAGTGATGCGCATCACCCACACGATCTCACGGTCAGACGCCTGAGGAGCAGAAAAAGGATTGTGACATATGCAGAACAGCCAAAAAAAAACAACTAAAAAGACATTGATTTCGTATAAACTGTCACACAAGTACTTACCGACTGTCTGAAGGCGAGCTGATAGATGTTTCTCGCAAACATGGAGCTTGCTGAAAGGATGGAAGAGTCTGCAGATGACATGACAGCTGCAGACACAGCACCCAGGCCGAAAAAGGAGACGAATGGCGGGCAAAGGTGTTGGAGCACGATGGGCAGAATCATGTCTGCTTGGTCCCTCTCTTTAGGAGGAATGGCACCATAACTTGTCTGGTTCCAGTCTGAGTAAGGGAAAGATTTAATGAAGATTTAAAATGACACATCCAATATGCCCAGTATACATGTATTAGGCCACAGCTTACTTAGTATATGGTACGCAGTAGGACTTCAACAATAACAAATGAAATATGATAGCATTGCAACCTTTCTTTTTCGTGTAGTGTCTTTGTTTTTTCCCCCACAGTTCATTAAATCAGTTTTGCAAAAGTCGGAAACTCAAAGATTTTATTGATGATGGGAATAAGCTAGAATTGTATTTGATTTTTGTCACTTTAGTTTTGTAACGACAGTTCATGTTTATGTTAAAACAGGAAAAAACAAAGTTGTGTATTCTGATGTTCACCGAGGAATTTGACGCCTAAAAATCTGGAGATCAGACCTCTAATTTGGTCCCTTGCCTCCCTCTAATGTAATATTTACACAAGCAGCGTGGTTATTAAATGGATTGCTGCTTCATTATGGATGAGGTGAACCAGCTGCTATTTACCAGGCTCTCTCAGATCTAAGGGCAACATGGACCCATCCAGGGCCTCCACCCCCTCCCCCGAAACAAATACACACAGACAGACTGTGCATATGCAAGCTCATGTATTAGCTCTCTAACCTGTGGAGGCCCCGATGGCCCCGATGAGAACGGAGGGCACAGCCATGACGAGGCACCCGAACGCAGCCAGGAAAGAGAGGACCTGGGCGTAGGTAGCCGAGGAAGCAGAGAGGACTCTCTGGAAATACACCTGCCAGGGTATTCCTCCAAGCATCTGCAGTTAGAGACCAGAGTAACATTCACAGAAGATAGTCAAGTTAATTTTATTTATATGGCCCAAAGTCACATATAGTATATATATATATAGTTGCCTCAAATGTATAATTTTTACAATCTATAGAGCATATGACACCCTCTACCCTTAGACCCTCACTTCTGATCAGGAAACAACTTTTTGGCAGAAAGATTTATTGCTGATATGTCAGACTGCATGAAACTCCTTGCCATAAGGTTCAACCAAATGATTTGATAAAGAGCTGTCTATATTATTATCAGTTTTAACACCTTAACAGCAGCTGTCAAGTGAGAAGACGACTATTGTCCCATCAACAGTTGCATCAAAATGCAAAACAATAAAGAAAAATGTACATTACAGGTTGCCAGAGCCAAAAATGTCTGGCTGTCAAACTAAATGATTTGACTGTCACTGATGAGTTTTCTGAAAATTTAACAAATAGTCTCAGCATGGTAACATTTAGCTAATCACAAATAAAATGACCTTTTTCCAGTGTGAGTTCTCAGTAGACTAAATTCTGCTTAAGTGAGAGATGAATAGGTTGTGGTTACTGTACCAGGAGGCAGAAGTTGTCGATCCAGACCCAGGTGTCCTTCCTGTTGATGCTGCCTTTCCAGGGCGACTGGTACACATGCTTCACCGCAGTAACAGTAATGTCTGTCACCGCAGGGTTGGTCAAAGCAAAGGGGACACTGATCCACTGTAGACAGACAGAAATACAGTAATAAACTTTTACAAATTATACCTTTTAGCTCTTTAATTATCCCACCTTAGTTTATTTATATAATTTCCAGACAATTTGTCCCAAATTAATCTTTGCTGTGTCGTTTCATTTCACTTTGTGCCCTGTACTTGCATAATATTATTAAAAGTGATTCCGCATATTTTAAATCAAGGTCAAAGTACATTTGGTGTGACAAACACAGTAAATCTACTCAAGAACTAAGAACTAATTACAATAGTTACTATTATCTACTTTTGACTTGTGCTCAGCATGAACCTACCAGGCCAATAAAGATACAGAAGAGCTGCACAACATCAGTGTAGGCCACAGAGTAAAGTCCTCCAACCAGGGTGTAAAAGATTGCAATGAGTGCTGAGATAACCACTGACATCTTAATGTTGATGTCCACAATGACACTCAGAGTAGCACCTATGGTCATGAACAAACAGATGAAAGGATATTATGGCCACCGCATCATCCTATAGACAAAAACTCAAACACACTTTGAATGTATAGCCCACAAGAATAGTTTATTTAGTTGTAGACAGAGACATGAACTTACCAAGGGCAGATAAGATGGCGGCAGACCAGAAGATCTCACCCATGAGTGCAGGTATGAAGAGGAGGCCACCCATGCGTTTCCCATACATCTGCTGAAACGGGTCCAACATGGTGACGTAACCTCGTGAGCGCATGGGCTTAGCGAAAAAAAGACCACCTGAGACAATGAGTGGACACATTACAGGCTGAGCAGTGAAGCAACCACCATCAGGACAGAGAAGGCCCTTGAATCTAGACTAAACTGCCTTTTGTGGTAGAAAATGTACATTTATACGTATTTAGGGTTTAATATTGCACTGTTTCTTAACATAGATTTGTTTCAAATTGACAAAACCATAAAAAAACACACCATGAAAAGAAGCTAATACTTTAACAAACAGGCATAAAACTTAACAAGGACCCCGATGAAGGTTTCATTAGCACTGAACTCAATCATTTCAATAAGGTATGTGGTCAAAATACCCTGTTATGGTCCTGCTTGCAAGCGATATCATACCAGTATTTTACATTGTTTTGAACATGATAAATACATAGCACCACTCACCCACAACAAGACTGAGGGCATATCCAAAGGGAGCTTGTGCCCAAGCTAAACCATAATCCGGTAAATACACATATTCAGCTGTGCCATTGATGTAACCTCCTCCAACCCAGGTCGCTGAAAATCACACACACACACACACACAGACACATAAATGTGACCTCTAAAGAAAATGATTTTTGAAATGATTAAAGAGAGGTGTTTTATGCTAAAATAAATAGAAATTCAAACAATTTATACTGTAACTCTTATTCTTCCATGAGGAAAACCCATGATATATGTCACTTTGCCAAGTCCATTTTGAGTCAAAGAATTCGTCTGAAAGCTGGTAAAGTGAATGTTTGGCAAATATTTCTAAAAAAACAACAACTGAAACATCAAACATACTACATTAGAATACATTTTTATGAATTGTCTAACACCAAAAGCGGATTCTTGAGAAAAGAAGAAAAGATTAAATATGTTAAAACAAGCCATAGCTACTAAAACCAAATGTTACTGAGTACATAAATACAAACTTTACCTGTCATGGTAAATCCACCGACAAATAATCCAATGTCTCTCCCTCCGACCATGATGGTTTCGCTGCGGTCGGTGCCCTCCGCCTCCCCGGAGTGTTTGTTCTTCCATGCCGCCCAGATGCCCACGAACAGGATCAGTAGATAGAAGATCGCGATAGCCACAAGCCCCTCTACATGGATGGTCATTGTCGCACCAGTCTTCCGCTAGGAACGGAAGGGCATGGAGACCTGTTTTGCGCACGGAGAAGAGAGGATCAGATATTCCGTACAGTTCAAAAACAATCATTTTGCTTTTAGTTTTCCGCGTTAGTTGGACTAACAACAGAAAGGTGCCAACACTGGGACATTTTAGTGCCTTTTTTAACAGGTTTTAGTTGGATTAGAGTTTCAACTGACCAAACACGCGTCGCCTTGTTGTAATAGAAACATATAATAACAGTCCAAAAGAAATCTATTTAATAATTTCACGCGCTCTGATGACCCTGAAAAATGTCTCCTTTTGAAATATGACTTTCAACTCAGTACAGGTTATTGTGGCTATTCTACCTTACTCTACATGATCGTTAGAAGTAAAGTAAAAATTGGTTAAAAAGAAACCTGAAAGCTCTATTTTTGCATTCCTTTAGGGCAAAGACATTCATGAAATAAAATAAATCAAACAAATCTGAATAAGGTTTAAAAAGTAATCACGGTTGATATTCTATTTTGTTAGATCTGTTGGTATCTGATCAAACCTTTTCTCTATTTTCTATCTCTCCTTTCGTCCTTCTATCCGGACACATGCGCGTAAAATCCAAATTACGCACAGCTAAATATAGGACTGCCTTATCCACATCGTTATCGTTAATAAAGATCTCCACTCAAATGAATTCGATATCATCTTTTAAAATACTATTTGATAAACGAACCTAAACAGTTTAAAAAAGCTTGAAAAACACGACGCAAAACTTACCTCAAGTGTTTCTTAGAGTCATGTGCTGGGGCACCTGAGGCAGAGAACGGCGAGCAGAGCAGTCGGACGGTTTATTAAGAGCCTCGTCCCCCCAGTTAAATGAAACGTTGGTGGAGGTCTCCCGGGTGGCTTACTGGGGTTTATAAGGGGGCAGGTGCCGTCAGAGGACTGATACACGCGTCAGAGAAACCAAACGTCCCTCTTAATGAGCACCTTGCATGGAAACACGTCACAGTGTCCTGGCTGATCTGACTGGAGGAGGCTGGGAGAGATTCCTGTACTCCATAACGAGGATGGATGGCCGTCTTACTTTTTTTTTTAAACCACTGAATAGCGTGACATGAATTTTAATATCAAACGTTGCATTTTTCACTTTAAATAATCAAGAATTTGTGGAGAGTTTTACTCTTCACGTGGCTCCTGCTCCTTCAGAGTCAGTGCGTAACAGCCGCCTAATTGCGCAGCCATACTTCTTGTGGCCTTTTATCCGCTGTCACTGTCTGCCCAGCCGGCATTTTACCTTACAACCGCAATTAACTTTGCTCCACAGAAACAGTTTTTGTGGAGCGACTAAGGAGGATGAGAGACCACCCTGCTGGTGCCCTCTGTTCTTTGCACAGGAGAAAACTGTGGAGATAAATTTGTTTATAAAATAACTGCTTGAATTTAATTCTCATCAGTTTTCTTTTTCTTAATCTTTTTTTATTTTTTACAGCAATTCGCCCCTTACTCCAACACCTTCTTGAGCAGAAACGAACCACTTTTCCTCCTTTTTTTGCGGCCTATGAGCACCTTTGAGCAATTAGAAATTATTTAAGTACACTGCGTCTGTCACTTTCCCTTCAGGATGTATATCAATGAACTGTGTCTACTTAATGGCCTCTTCTGCCTGAAGTCGTTTAATCGCGGCTACTCTTGTCAAAAATGACAGGCATCCAATTAGGATGGATCCTGAAGAGCAGAGGAGAGATTTAATGATACAGTCTGACCACTTAAAAAAAAAAAAAAATCCTTGGCACACACACACACAGAATGAGACACACGCACAAACAGTGTAACGGAAAACGTATTTGCTAAAGATAGCTGAGGTGTTTACTCATCAAAAGAAGGAGTGACAAGCCTGTTTTAACCGGGAAACGCACACAGCGCCCCGTTCTGGACAGTTTCAGCACCATGGATAGGGGCTCATATATTTATCTCTGCTGTATCTAGCTGAAGGGTTACATTGCTTAATCTTAACTGTACCAATTGATGGGACTGTATCTTAATATGAAATATCATTTTTTTGTGGTCATTTTTAAACAAGATGTTACTATATATTTTGACATAACTGTGATGTTGATTTCTCTGAATCTGCTGGTTATGTCATGGTGTTCGTTTTAACCAATATGCCTGTACTAAATGCTTTTTAGTGTAATGCCATTTCTTGCTCTGACTGGGTGTTTTCTTTATAATGTGTCTTGTTAATTTAGGGAATAACAATCAAAACATTTAATTGAAAGGCTCAACTGTATATTCTTCTGATTCCTATTTAAATCTTTGACCAATCTACCAAACACAGAATTATAAATAAAGACAATTTAAGAATTTAATTTATTTGAATAATGTTGACTTAACTTGGACTTTATTGACATCTCAGAAGTGACTTTGTACTACCAATGCGTAAATCGGAAACATCCGGAAGACAGCTGGAAAGGTTCCTAACTGCATGTTTGACAGATGGCTGGCACATGACCTTGACACTTATACAAGCCAAACACTGAATCTGAGTGTGTACAAGTTTGTGGTTTGATGAAATGATCCACAAACACATGCTCCTCAATCATGTCATTATATCAACATATGGATACAAAACAAACATCATTACAAAATAAACTAGCGTCCTGCACAGCATCATAAGAGGAAAACGTATAACTTGTGTAAACGAATGTTTATGTTTAACCAAATAAATTGTTCAGGGCCCAAGGACTCCAGGTTTAATGAGCAGCTGTTGCTGGCAGCGCTCAAGATGTTAGTGAGAGAGAGTGAGAGTGAGTGAGAGACACACAGAGAGAGAGAGAGGATCCACAGATAACATAATCCGAAGCCGGAGTGCTGTTATTCCCCTAAATCATGAAACAATATTCATTTTCCATAGCATTTATTCTTTGAAAATTACCACATACAATATAATAAACAAAATACACACAGCTCGTTTGTTGATATAGTTTGAAGAGTCTATAACGTCTCTGATGCTAAAGTGAACCTGTGCTCAGAGGGTCTTTGAAATAGATGTCTGGAGTATATGAAAGTAAATCACCACTCTGAAATGTCTTACAGGTAAAAATACAGTATATTACAAAATCAATGTAGTGTACTTAAAGCCACTATGAGCAGGATGTGAATATTTTGGACTTGGGTGTCCCCCAGTGGTAGTATAAAAAATAGATAAATATGAGTGGACTGGAGGTGAAACAGACCAGATTTCACTGGAAACGTATCCTTGCAACAAAAACATTACAGAACAGTCATACACAACTTTTAGGATGTAAAAATTTGAAACCGCCTGATAGCAACAAAAACAAATATTTTCAGCTTGCATTTTTTGTCTTTAAGCTAAAATTATCAAGTATTTGATCATTTGAAAGATTTTTAAAACCTTGCTCAACATGAAACTTATCTGTGAAGAAAACTTCTCTTCGGTTGGTTTATGTTGAATTTTGAACATGACTTTTCAATCATTCACAACTTAAATGACGAGGTTTGCTGTATAGCACAGTCCTGAAAGTGAACCGGACTGTAAAGACAACCATTATAAAAATATTGTGTTATTTTGGGGGAAAATATTTCATTTTTGGAGCGTTACAAGGCGTGTTTGTAGTTTCTGTAGTTTCTGTAGTAGCAGTTTTGTAGTAAAGTTTACAGATGAAACATTTAAGGACAAAATACCACAGAGTACATAAAATAAAACACTATTATTTTAAATATTTTATCTCACATTTTTGTATGTTATTCCTTTTTGCCTTGAAGCTATTCAAAAACAGTGAAACACCTCCCACCAGCTATAAAGCTTTGTTGAGGTGATTGAGCTTGACAGAACCTAAAAAGCAACCATACACTCTGATCTGTACAGAAGTGGTTTTTAATGTAAGCTTTCAGCCAGTGGCTAAACAACAGGATCAAAGGCTTGCATTAAAAACTTTTGTGCAGATGTCTGCCTTTGAATCACTGAAGTACCATGAGTCAATTGTAAGAAGCATTTTGTTCGAGTACATTTCTCTTTGAGCAATGAAATAAGGCAAAGGTAAAAACTCTAGTTGAAAAATAGTATTTGAAGTTTGGATTTTTAAGCAAATTTTGGCTAATTAACTTGACATTCACTTCATGACTATCTACCTTGTTACGCTAAGTTAAATACATATAAACACTTAGCCACAAGTAACAATATGTACAACAAAAATCTACTGGGTCCAAGAAGACATTTAATCTTCAATACGCAAAACATAATTTCACAGCTACTCGAAAGCTGAGCAGAGCTGCATGAAGTATTAGCTGCAGTAAAGACACTGTAACTTTTGTTTTTAATGTGACAATGAGATGGCCCTATATGCAAGTTTGAGAAAGGCAATGTGCACTGGAATGCATGAACATTTTCTGGTATTTGTTCAACAAATCAAACAAAATTTCCCTCAGCTGAAGAAGTAAACGATAGTTAACTGAACTGTTGTGATGCTTCAAACACAAATAATAATGTATCTACAGAGGCCCTGAGACACATGAGAAAAAGAAAAGAGCGTTTGGCATATTTCAGAGGTGGAAACCATTTCTAAAGGACCTTCCTTACAGGTTGGTTTGTATGTATCAGCCCATTGCACACATATCGCAGAGACTATCACCAGCTCTCTAGTAATGGTGATAAAACTGCAGATGAGAGCATTGAGCCAGTGGCTGAAACATGTGCATAGGACCACACAATAATGTTGGTAATTGTGAGCCAGTACACAAAGGGCAAAATACATTGAGTTGACATCATTGGTATAATGAGGTGTCAGCTGTTCTCTTCAGGGAAGCTGGAACATATCATTTGTCATGTGAAACATACAAAATAACACACCACCTAACAATATGTCTTTTCTAGATCTGGTATTCATGCTTCCTAAAATGAAAACAGCACCAACTACAATAACATATTTAAGTGCAGTTATAGTATCATGATCCCTGTGAGCCTGTTACACAAATATATTGAGGAATGGGAGGGATAATATTGTTATGTTCCATATTTTTTGCATTTTACTGCCCTTTTTTGAGACAGCTTATCAGTTTAAACTCATATCGCTTGTATGGAAAAGTAAGAATTTGCCCCGAATGAATGTGACAATGTTGCCTATTTGTAGGTTTCTCACTGCACTGTTATTACTGGTACCAGATAATCAAATAATGTATCAATTCTGAGTGAACCACGCCAGCCAAGAACCATCAAAGTACCACATTAAAAACATTACCATCCCATGGTACTTCTGAAAACAGGGTCAACCCATCTTTCAGAAAAGATTTCCATGGATGCTGCTGCTTCTGGCGTGTCCATCCTCATGCCCTCACGTTCTCATTGTTTTGATTTGATCTGAAAGAATATAAATGCAATCAATCAGCAATATATACCTTTATAAGTTATGTAAAAAACAGTGTCATTCATCACATCCCATAACAGTGGGAACCAGCATACTGAGCATGTGGATCAACAGTGGAGAAATAGATTACGCAGCAGGAGAAGTTTCTATGGATATTTTGTATCCATTGTAAATACTGTGAATCCAAACACACCACTACTGAGCCACATTTCAAGCATTTGATACTCAAGGGATAGACTTCTGGTTGAGTTTTTAAGACTTTGATACCAGATATCAGCACCAGCCTTATTGGAGAACCCTTGATCCAGTAGATGCATCAGGAAGCCAAATGACGTTAGGTGATTAAGTTGAAGAAACAAAGTTTTGGATATGAGGAGTTATAGGAGATATGAGGAGAGCACAGGAGTACACATACTGTACTGCTTGTTCAGAATAACATCTTGGATCACAGTCAAAGTCACCATATTACAGTAAACATGGTAAGGAAAAACTGGGGGAGTTTTTAAAAAAATCCTCTACAGCTACGTAGTACCACGATAAATAACACAACACAAAACACCCAGTACTCACTGCATAATTTGATCTATGGAAGGATTTGAATGACAGCATTAAACATAATAAAAAGAAAAGAAGATGATGTTGACGAAGTAGAACAGACTAAACCTTGCAGGTTAATAAAAAGTTACGTGCTGTGTATGTTCCAGTCATACACAGATATGCAATAACACAAATATATTGTGATGCAAAGAAAAACAAAGAAATATTAAAATTCTCCACATTTGTAGGATTAACTGGGAAAATGTTTGTTATTGGTTAAAATAAAGCAATGTTTCTTATTCAGAAGTGTTTTTTTTTTAAATGACCATATGAAATGTAGATAAAGGGTGTTTTGATATATATGCATTCTTAATTTAATAGTGAACAAAATGACAGTAGTCACTGCAGTATGAGCTCAGCACGCCGTCACACTCTCACTTATATGAACTCTCTTCATACCTTGCAACCAGTCGACCCCCTCCTGCAAACCTTCTCCTTTCAGAGCATCGGTGGCACTGGAACATATCAACAAATCATATTTAGAAAACTGTACCACAAAGTGCCTACTTTGTCAGAAGAAATCGTAAAGATATACCTGCACCTAAATATGACATAAAAAGGTACCATGATATGACAGGTGACTTGTTTACTACATGCATGTAAACTTAGTCAGTGACACATCCTGGTTGTTGAGACTAAACAGCTGTGTTCTGGTGTCTCCAATGGCAGAGGTGCAGGTTAAATACTACAGCGTTATTTCACAGAAGATTCCAATTTGTCTGTGATAACTACACCACTGCCTCCTCAATTGC